TTTGTGCAGTTGTCAATAGCAAAACAATCGACCATACGGGGAAATCTATTCTTGATGAAAGGTGTAAGGAAAGGTATATTTATAGCGCGAGAAAAAAGGAGAGAGGAAAAGAGAGAGAGAGAGAGAGCACGAAGCAAAATATATCCTATTATAAAGCATCTATATCGCGCTCCGAAGTGTATTTGTTTCTCAATGGGTTCTCCAGATTTCTCAGCATTGCTATAAATAAGCTTATTCCCTTTCTTCATGTCAGTAATTCAATTAAGAGATACCTCTGTATTTCATTGAGAGAAACAATTGGCGGTTATTCGAAAGGAACTGCGTGATTATTCGAGTATACCACGCATTCATCGCTTTCCTATCTATTCATAAAGTAGATTATCTCTTTCGCTCTCTTCCTTTCTCTGTCTCTCTCTCTCTCTCTCTCTCTTTCTTTGCTCGTGTTCTGCTTGAAAATTTATGCTAATTGAGGAACACTCGTTTCGCAATGGTCAGCAGTTTCTGGGCTTTTTCGGTGTTTGCTGCATTATCCGCATCGGTGGATCCGTTTACTTTGGAAACTGCGAATGGGAGTTAATACATGAAGTTTGCTTTCCATAATTCAGCTTTGCTTAACCGTTCATTTTTATGCAATAACCATTGCGAATTGTCAAACGCGCGCGATTGAAAGCGTGACGTGCGAGCAGTCCGCAGAATTTCGCTAACCATCTATTATAGGAAAAAATTGATTTAACCTTTTGTTGTATTTGCATAAAAGGCGGCGTGTGGGCTATTACAATATTTCTATTTCGTTCTCTTTACGACATTCAATTGAATTTCAATTCGAGAGAAATTTAATTTTTCACGCGGGAGGGAAAGAGAAGAGGACGGAGTCGTGTTCGCGCGAGGTGAAGGAATGTTTAGAAGAAGGAATGAAAAATCGTGACGGTGACGGTGACGGAGCTGAATTCGACAGCGAATGACGTAAGCAAGTTTTTCCTTGCAGTCGGCCGCACGCGTAAAATGCATGGGATGTGCCGGGCCGGAAATTCCGGCATCCCAGTGACTGGATGAACAGCGTTAATAAGAAATGCGCGCTCTCGGGCACCATGTACCGAGAGATCCAACGATGCAACTGTGTCCTTTTCTATTCTGTTCCCGCTGTCCGCTTGGGCTAATGTTGAGTCGCGTGTGTTTCGGGGAAACGACATTCGTTGTCGCAATGTCGTTTCATTGCGAAGTCGCTCTTATTCGCACGGGTATAAAATATTCCAGCATGAAATTTTAAAATTCAATAAGCGAACTGAATAAAAATTGTTCCTTTGCTTCCCTCTACTATTTTTAGTGCTCTCATCTCTTCTCGCAAGGATATGGGACACGATATAGGATATAGCGATGTCCAACGGAATGTTATAGACTTAACTTGATCTTCCCTGATTTTATAAAAAAAAAACATTTCATCGTTGCGCGCGTATTAATCTAATAAGTTATATGATCGTTAAATGATTTTTAATAAGGGCGACAGTTACTTTTACTATATTTGGCCTAAGCTGATTCATTAATAAAAAGTCGGAGAAGTCTAGACTCACGCTTGAGGTGGTTGAACTCTTCAAGTTGAACGTCGCGGCGTTTCGCACGTATGAAAAAACATATATTCCGCGAGCACAATGAGGAAGAAGCACGTGGGGTGTAAAACAAAGTACGTGAGGTGTAAAATGCATCTTGCGCGAGTAAGTAAGATTAATACACGGTCGAGTAGCAATTGTTTTCGCACGCATTGTACTGTTGTGTCTACAAACACCCGCGTACTCCCTGATTACCCAGAAATACAGTGGGGAATAAAATATCTTGGTGGGGAATTTTCTTGCTGTTAACAACAGCTCGACCTAGATCCCAATGATGGATCGATTGATTGTGCTGACAGATGATCCCTTTACATGACTTCTTACTTACGCGGGATGATGCGGCGTAATTTGATCGAGCATCGTACTTGGAGTATTTGTGCGTGTCGTATCAGCTTCTAATGTCAACTTGATGAATTGAGTATCAGAGTTAAGTTCTTTCCTAGATTGCGAGTATTATTATAATTTCTCCCCAAGATTTTCCGCGGGACGTAATGTTATTCAATATCGTACAATTAAACTCCTGCACAGAGAGAAAAAAATAGTCATTTTTGGACCCAACCATATTTTTATAATTCCTCCAACGTAATTTATGGTTGACCTAACAATATTATAGTTCTCATAAACACAATATTGGTCCATGCAATTATAAAAATATGGTTGGGTCCAAAAATGACTATTTCTTTCTCTCAGTGTGAGTAAATTGGCCGTTGAATTCAGTCGATTTACGGAAAGGCGATAATGTTTTGCCATTTTAAATGGACGAGCAAACCCACCTACAATCTGAACAGACGTAACTCTGTCACATGTGATCTCGCGTTAATTTAAAGCGTCGCCGTTGAATTATTCTAGCGGTTTCCGGCGATACTTACAAAATTCTCGTGGTTGCACGTGATATTCACGGGCCAGTCGGTTTTTATCAGCTATCAATCAACTCTTTTCACATCATCCACGAGAACTGCGCCTGTTGCCTATTACACTCTCCATTTCCTGGTAGCCACTAAAGCATGAAATCCTTTGAGCTGTCTGCATATTTTATCGATACCGCAGTCATGTACAAGTTGCATTCCTAGTAGTTATCTTTTACATAATCGAGGGGATGGTAATAATGTCAACAAAAAAAAAGTGCAGTACTCGAGATATTCAAATTATGAGAAATTAAAAATTTGATTGTCATCTTCCTGCAATTTTTATGTCGCGGCGGAATAGTTTACGAGTTTAATAAAAATTAATTTCTTCAATTCCAAGAAGAAAGGAGTAATCGTTTCCAATAATGTTGTTAATGTTGCATACAATTTCGTGAAATTTGTGATTAAAGACTAATATTTAAGTATCCATAACGAAGATAATAGTAAGCAGACATTTTATATAATTAAAGATCAATTTTACAGACTCGTCGATTATTTGTAACCGTGTTGCAACGTTACCGTCGCGTTTACTAGTTTCGAGATGAAGTCGAAACGTCGACCGAATCGAAGATTCTACCCGTCGCTTTCATTAAATAGATTAGAGCAAGGGATCGAGCTCCGTCCAGGTCGTCGCTGTCCTAACGAGGCATGCGCCTCGTTCTCTAAGATGAGAGATATACGTGTAACCCTTCTCTCTGTGCCTCTCTCTAAGAGGCACTTCGGCAAGCTCCCACTTTGACCCTTAGCGACGCGCAGCACGAAATTACATAGTGAAGCTATGTATGATGCAGATTTTGCATCCGTCTTGCTTTTTCTGACTCGCTTCTATACGTTCGCAAAGATAAATATTCATTCAATATTTGATCAGTAATCTTACATATTTTCTTTCAAGATATTACGTATCTGCAGTGCGCTCGTGTCTATCTTATTGATTAACTCAAGTCGGAGGCCACGAAATTTGCAATGATAATTACCGTGCTTTCTCAATTTTATTTATAACATAAACTTACTTACATTCTTGCAAGAATTAAAGTCAGAAGTGTCGCATATATCGTCGGTGCTACACGAGATAAATTGCGGCTCGAGAAAATCTCTTGGAGCAGGAGTGCGTCAATAAAAAAAAAAAAAAAGTGTGTACACGTGGGTAGCAACCCTCTGTCACTCATTGCTGGGGCATAAATTGTCGCGTGTTGTTGGAAAATCACGGAGGTCGGCGGTTGGGAAACAGGCGCCGAGACGTCTCGACGCCGTTTCACTGGCGTCGTCTTCTCCAGGCTCCGGTTTTCTTCCTCTCCCTACCTCTCTTGTCTATCCCCCTTATATTTCTCTATTGATCCCTTCTTTCATCGTTCCGAACTATCTCCACCGGCCATATTGTGTTATGTAATTACAAAGGATGCGATAATACGCGTATCAAGTTTAGGATTCCCATTTTCTCTCCGACATAAGCAAGTTTAGAAAGAAAAAAACGTTAATCTGTGTAGGAACCTTTCAGCAGATACAATTACTGTGACGCAACGTTTATTTTATATACTGTGAAATTTCATATATGAAATATGAAATGTCAACGTAACGGAACAGGAAAGGCTACTTCCGATACTGTGCGCGACGTGTGAGTATGACATAAGATTAAAATACTTTCGTCGACGGGCATCAAGGGCAACATCATCTCTTGGGAAGCGTATTTCATTTCAACGCTGAGGCACAAAGTTGGAAAAGAAAATATATACACGTATTATACGAGAAAGTTGTTACGCTTTTCATAACCGTAAAAACCTATTTCGATGAGTTAAATAGTAAATTACTGCAGATTTCTGGTTTAAAGATCGCAGAGGTCTGTCAGACCGTAAATCAAGTAATTATCAAATAAATAAAAACTAAAGAAAATTGATAAATTGAAATTCAGATTAATGTAATAAAAAGTAAGAGCGATAATTAAAAGGAGGAATCGTTTACTTAAATACTAAGTAAACTAAATTATTCGCAAACACAAACTCTTGGCTGCAGTACTACTGATAAATTAAAGGAATACTTTATTAAAAGAAATATTACTCATAAAAGATTAAATGGAAGAACTAAATTCAAGTAAGAATAAAATGCAGTCGTGAGCGGAAGATTAAAAATTACCTAATTAAAAAACAAGAAATATATATATATAGTTTACTCGGAGAAAAATTTAATAATCAGCGGTGATTAAAATAACAAACTTTACATAAAACCTTATGACAAACTGTTTCGCGTGCAATTCATAAAAAAAAAAATACAACCGGAAACGTAGCTATGAAACAAGGAGATTCGCCACTTTATAAAGATCACTTTTAAATAATCAATTGTAAATCAATTATACGAGAACAACGTGGGAGTAAAAATAAAAAGATAATAGTTAGCTATGATAAATAATTAATATACAAAATACACAGATAAAGTATACGAATACTTTAGTGGAACGATGAAAGACATAAAATAATTATACTTAAATTTTTGTTTACAGGTTTCCGTGACTTTGATAGCGGTGCGATAATCACAGAGTAACAAAATGGCTGCGTTTGTGGCGAAGCAGATGGTCGGGAACAAGCTCAATGCGGTTAAAGGTAAGTGATTAAAAAGAAAAAAAAAACCGTTTTCCTCCCTCGCTTGTATCGCAAATAATTGTTTTAACGACAAAAGCCTATCAGCTAATTTATTTTTCATCTCCTCGATCCGAATTATATTTCGTGGCATCTTTTATATCTTACGTATATAAATTGAATCCAGCTATCATCTAAACGAAGAAAATAAACTGTAGTCTTCAATGCGTCTGTAAAAATCCGAAAATGCGAGTATTTCAGGCTAAACGTTTTATCGCGATCACGAACGCCGCTTCCACGATAAAATTCAATCGTAACTGTAAAAGGAAACGCTTTAAAGACTCCTCGGAATTCCTTTCTATCCCCGCCAGTTTCAGCGAGACGTGACTCGCTGCAAATTTGTTTGCCGCCATCTTGGATAGACTCCGAGCGGAACATTAGACCACTCGATTATTTGACATGAAGTATTATTCAATTTACCTTTTTTTTTTCGGTGGAAAAAAGATGAGAATTAAAAAAATTATTATAGACATTGTTTGCTTAGGTATTTTCTGTCCGCTCCGGACGAGATCGTCCGCTTAAAACGTGATGTACGTGGTGACCGGGTAGTCCGAAATCTTTGAGAAAGAGTAAAAAGTACAACGTGTTGAGCAGCGTTATGCTTGGCACGTTGTGTATCAGCACGTTTCGTTTATGCAATTATCGTAAAACCGGATGGATCAACGTGCAACTACCGTGGCAGTCCTCGCAGCTATTACGCCCCCGCGCGAGCATCTGCAGTAAAATTGCACTATCTTCGCATACGCGCTTAGACTTCGCCCGTACGGAGCCCCCGTTCGTGTTTATCGTTGTATTGGAACTATTATGTTTCGGAAATTTCCCATACGGTTAATTTCCCCGTTGTACAACGTTTAAAGCATTTTCGCTACGAATACATCATTCAGTACAGAGCTTTCCAAAATGCGCAGAGTGCCACTTTTAGCAGTCGAGTACGCGAAAGCATGATAAAAAATGCAAAATTTTAACCGCAACGTGGAACACGATACGTGATGTGGAGATATTCGATATGAATATTGTTTCTGTCTCGTTTTTCGCCCCGTAACAAACAAACGTGCGCATCTGTCCGCGGCAACAGCGGCCGCGGCAGAATCCGAGTCTCCGCGAGATGTTGCTGATTGTCGATTAGCGATTATTTTTACGTCAGTATGAAAATTGCCGCTTTGAAATTCCGACCGCAGTGGCGGCTGGAAGTTGGGTGGAAATGATAGAGAGACGTGTACCCGCGAGAGACGAATCGCGACGCCGCGTTCGTTCGTTCGCGTCTAGGATGTCGCCGGATTGAACGATGGCCGGCAATAAAACTTCTGTCATTAAGCAAAAGTTTCAGCTTTCGTGTGCGACGAAGCGGGGAAGCGTGTCGCGGGGAATCCATAATGGGGAAAGCGGGGGGAAATGGGGACCTTCCTCACAAATCGCGAACTCGACGTCTACTTTGAATTCTTCGTCCATTTGAGAAATGGCGAGGGTGGAGTTTTATATAAAATGGAATAGATGGACATGACGTAGAGCAGTAAACTTCCTTCCCCTTTGTGTGTTTCGGGAAAACTTTCTCTCGCTCTTTCGAAATGCTCAACAAAACAGAGGTGGGCCAACAATATAAAGTTTTTATAAGAGAGTTTAGCATGCAAATGTAGAATGTATATACGCGTATTTATAAATACATATATATATGTGTGTGTGCATTTTTACATACATATTATAGAAACAATATGTACGGAGGTAAAGAAAATATAAGAATAAAGCTGAATCGCGAACAAACGCGACAGTGATTAAAAGGGGAAAGGCAAATTAAGGACGGATGGAAGAGAAGAATCGGCAACCCAGACCTCAATTGCAGCAGCCGGGTTCAATGAAAGCCCACGACGGTTTTGCAAACCGAGCCGCATTTAGAAGTTTGGGTCGCGCGAGTCGTCGCTCTCTTCCCTTTCCCTCCCGTGCCCTTTACGCTAAAGTTCCAGCAGCTTTTTCGCGTTGCCCACGTAGGTTAATTGAAATCCCGCTAATCGATCGACCGCGACCTATGGTACCGAAACCTAACTACGGCGAATCGATGAAGTGCCGAAACGAAAGGGAGATAGATGGATGAGATTTCCCGACAAGAGAGCGCAGGGCGAAATTGAATTGTTTTTCATATAATTGTTTTCCCCTTTTAAAGATTTATCGACTCTACTAACTTGCCGCAACTTTTCACTTCTCAACGTTAAGCAGTTGATCCGATAACGACGCGTATTACCGGACTTTGGCGAGCACTGTACTTGAATTAATGACGGTGTTTATTATGGGCATTACCATTCAATCGATGAACTGGACTAGCCGACGATATCGCGATGTGACAGACAATCGGCCCAATTAATTATGCGCTTCGTGATTTATTCGAGGGGACAGCCCAGGCAGTTCGGGCGAATCATCGTAATAGCGCGGCTGTCCCTCATACCCTCGACAGAAATGCGTTTTCGAAAATAATGCGGTTCGCGATCGTCGGAAATGGAGACCGAGAAGCGCCCCCCGAGAAACGCCCGTAGTTACAAGTCGTCGCGTCGTACCGTCGCAATTCGGCAGAAATTTTCCGGATAATTTCGACCGCGCGCAGCATACAGAGATCGTAATTTATGCCCCAAACACAATTACGCGGTTGTCTCGGATAATTAGTGTAACGATGTCACACACTCGCACCAGGCAGGATACCTTAATTGCGGAACTTTCGCTCGTCGTTAACGATTTCCTCGCGCGCGATATACTTGTTGCGATACAATTACTTCTGAGAGCTGGGACAGCATCGATCGTATCGGACGATTTCACTAAGAGCCGTTCCTGAGATTACGCGCTGCCGGATTTTCAAATTGATAATTTGATCCAAGTAATTCACTCGAAATGTGCCCGGTTTTTCAAACGCACACCCTCTAGGCGTGGCGTTTTTTTTTCTCCGCGGTAAATTTCGAGCGGGCTCAATTTAAAATTGACGTTCAAGGTCCATTTCTCGGGGATATTTAACGTCGGAGAGTGGAAAATTGCGGGGAAACGATGGAACTCTGACATAAAGTAATTCGTATCGCGATATTTTCCACAATAACATCAGAATTTTAAGTAACGTGTCAATATAATACAAGTCAATTTAGTAATTAAATATTTGACGTTCCTGCATTTGCAAATTATTCGTTAAACGTAGAATATTATTGATAAAATGCGGGAGCGAATGCGCCGTCGTCGATTAAATGAATAAACGTTTAAAGATTCGTTAGTTAATTGGATTGGATTTCATTAAATGAAAAAAAAATATCGATGCCGCGTCTCTGTGTTTCGCATACCGGGCAAATTTTACATTTCTTTTGCTGCGATGCCGTTTAATGTTGATAAAAAATTTAACCCGACAAAATTACTAACGAATGACCACTGTCCCGTTATCCGGCAGTGCATCTACTTTAATTGAAGTCTCGTTTCGTAATATTCGACTAACGATTTGTCATGTGATAGGGGAACGAAAACGAGGAACGTATGGCGGTGCAATCTGTCGGAGAAACGAGCAAAAAAGCTCGATATATTTCGTGCTTGCGTTTTTGCGGTTGGTCGTACCTCCGATCGATCGTTCCAGTTTTGGCTCGTTAAAAATCTCATAGGGGATTTTTACAAGAAATAACTCCGTTACGGCGAGAAGGGGGGGGAATAGAGGAGGATCTTAACGCGAGCAACGACGCGAGATTCCATAATTTTCAACTGCTTAACTGGGAAATTCTTGCTGCCCCGGTTATTGGCATTTCTTTCTTTATTAAGATCTGATCTGCAATAATCGAGTCGCGTCATTTTCGTGATATTCTATTAGGCTTCATCGCGCGACTTATTCCCCGGTATTAAAAATGTCGATTACCAATGCTAAAAATACGATGAGATGGAATTTCTCATATTGCAAACTTTTTATCGGGCGTACATTACGCGGAAGTTCCATCTGAAACGCACCGCTTTTTTCCGCGGCGGTATTGAAATTTTCGCCGCCATTGCCGGCGACCGAGTTACGTGCACTTCTATGCGCGTCGATTTATAGCGATTCTGCATTACATACGGCCGCTGCGTTTAGCGATATTTAATTAAATCCCGTCTGGTAGGCGGAAACTTCTGTCGATAGTTCGGAACAGTTTGCAACCACTCTTACCACGGCCATCGGCCACGGCTCGCGCCATGAATGGTCACGTGGGCACAAAACCGTTATTTAGAAAGCCGATCAGAATGCTCAGATAATATGCGAGTCACTTTGCGCAACGAGGGAAATTCACACCGGACAAAAAATACGAGACGCGCAGGGGCTCTGATAGAGAGGGTCGGAGCGGGGGAAAAAAGAGATACACGCTTCAGCAAACGGAAATCAAATTTTTGCGCGTACTACGTATAAAATTGACTTTTAACAAGACAGTTCGATACAAAAGGCACAAAAGCGAGGGATGTACGCGCAGAAAGTGAGGCGTCAATAAAGCTACTGTAAAATGTGCGGTAAAAACACGGCAATCGAAATGTACACGGGGGGGGGGGGGGAAATGTAGCCGCCGTAGCTAAAAACTACACGTGGCAACTACATTTCAGTTATGTAAAATATGGACGGCTAATATTTAGTTGTGACAGCTGAATATTTTTCTACTGTGCCTATTGGGCGCGAGAGCAAACCGTTTGCTGTGCTTTCGAAATTCACAGTTACGGCAGCGAAATATTTTTGGCAAACCATGATTAGCTGTGGTAGCGAGAACACTTTTTTTCAACGTAAATAGACCGAATTAACGCCACCACGGTTTGTACCAATAAATAGGTTTGCAGCAACACGGCTTTTTACAATGCGATGTCTTATTCAGTAGCGTAGCCGAGTTCGCTGTCGCGATGCGACGAGTTTTCCTTCACCTTTTATACATAATTTCATTAGAAGGGTCGGGTTAGTTTCATAAGCGTAGCAAAAACGCGAATAAGGAAAGAAATGTAAGGAATAT